AAATACGGTCACGTCACCGTTATATACCAGAACATTTTCCTATATAGCAAACATTAGTAGATTCTTCCCTCACTGAGGCAGACAACAACAAAAACAAGAACATTAAATCATCCATCTCGGGACAAGAGAAAATTAATCCGCTCGGGATAACATTTATACATGTGTGTTTTCGGGGATGAAATCCGGTAGGCAATGCGCGCGGCCCCATCGCTCACAGAGTCAGGAAGTCAAATAAGATCGGATTATCTTGTCCATCTCCATTAAGAGAGAAAGCGCCCGATGCGTATACACGTACAACGTCAAAACACACCATACAGAGGAAGGGGGTGGAACAATCGAAGATATCTTGAATAACTCAAACCGGAAGGATAACATGTATGTATGTATGTATAATATACGAAAACCACATCATATCCGCCCCTTTCCTTTGACCAGAGTCGGTTAATAACTGTCCCTCTCGATTTTTTCCTTTGCCCAACGGTCGTGGGAACATCCAAGGGAAACAGCACCGAACCTCGGTGTGACAAATCCGTCCCGTTACTCGTGCATTACGCACGACTCCAATAAATATATACATAATATATCGTCCGAAGATCATCTCTATAGACTATCACGTATTGTAATACTCGCCGATTGCCCCATCGGAAGGGTTTTTCGAATCAACGGACGCATGTGTATGATGGCCAAAGTGCCGTTATAACGGCAACGGGAATAACATCCAAGAGGCAATTTGAACGAGCGCCGGGGATTATCGGAAATGAAAATCACAAGGCGGAGATCACCGATGGATCCGAGAGGTGATCGCAATTGGGACGATCGATCCGCGCCAAATGTGTACATCAACCGATTAAATTGTTTGTTTTTTTTTTTTTTTTTTTTTTTCTCCCCGGCGACGTCTCACCTGTAAAATACATCGGTCCCGCCAACTGCGCCAGAGTACATATTAGCCATGAAACTCATCTCGTGACTTTCCCTGATTCCCCTCGTACCCGCCCGAAGACTGCACTCATTCGGCTCCGGTCCAACCGCTTCGTTCATTTAGACGAGGCGCTGCACACACCGACAATGAATGAAAAGTTTCTTTTCTTTTTTCACCAATATTCACTGGAGATAAGAAAAAAAAAAAAAAAAAAATACAAGTGCGGGTAAACTACGCGCGGGAGTATATCACACGCGTGCACGGGCAAAGGGGCGCGATGCGGGCGTCGCGACGTTCGGCCCCCGACTAGGGGAGGCAGCTACGTCGACTACTCCCTTCGAACGGCGATATGGCCGCGCGTCGCGACGCCGATTCCGTGTGTCCTCCCACCCACCCCCCCCCTCCTATTATACGTACCTATACTGCAGTGTGTGCACCTCATCTTGGACGATGATGATGATGATGCTGCTGGCTGGCACAGCTGTACCTGTACGTAATTGTACCTGTATATACATACATACATACACACGTGTGCACGTGTTGTTGTTGTTATACATATACGTGTGATACATTGCAGAGGAGGAACGAATAAGATGTTATACTCTGGTGCCGGTTGGTAGGTATATGTATAGGAATAAGTGATGCAGTCGGTCGCGAATTGAGCCCCGCGAGGGAAACAGATCGAGACGCGACGTGTAATTATTGGGGCGGCAATTCGTGATGGGCTCGGCCTTTGCTTCGTCGCTTATATAAATCACTCTCTGCTCTCTGGAGGTGGTGTATGTATGTACACGCTGTGTGCGCGTGGTTGGGAGGGTATGCGCGGTGCACGTTGGGGGTTATATTTATACCGTTGGGACTTGGAGGGTTGCTCTCCGGCAAGGATGAGCTCGATGTGTTGGATTTCCAATTTGAATTTCGATTTTCAAATCTGATGGATTGAGAGTCCATACGTGAGAGTAATAATAAATTGGGGGGGTGTACCCTGATAACAATATTTAAATGTCAAGTGGCTCTCGATGTTTGGGCCCTCACATAATTATGTAGTAGTTGGTCAAATTTTCTTTTTTTTTTTTTTTTTAGTGCATACGTAATCGAGAGAGAGAGAGCCGTAGCGCAAAAAAATAATCGTATGTTTGAACAGACGACGTACACTTAATGTGTATCTGCGTCGTTTCGAATAGGCATGTTAAATAAAGGAATCGTCGTTTGTTTACTACCTTTCTTTTTTTTTTTTTTTTTTTTTTTTTTCCTCTGAATAATTTCAAGGATGACCGTGTCGTTTTTTTTGTCTTTCAACAAAGTAAATTATATATACTCACAAGAGTCCGACCACGTAATCAATACCGATTTCTTGTGCTTTCGGGTGTTATTTTAGTCATACAGTTAAATAAGTACGTTTTTTGAGCGAAAATCTGTTGCCGAACCGTCGTCTGCTTGTAAGATCGATAAATCGGTAAGAAATAATATAATTGAAAAAGAAAAACAAAAAAAATCCAACGATATCGAACAGAATCAGAAAGGTGTTTTAAAAAGTTCGCACCAAGCCGTCGTGAGAGTGTGGGTGTGAAGATCGCTTTTTCCCTCGATTTGGTAGCAATAAAATCTATGTAAAATCTTTGTATAAGAGAGCGTAACTGGTTTGGTATATAGCTCGTCTGTCATGTATTAATAAATCACCCGATCAAAGCGAGATAAAAGAGAAGACAATACCGATCCATCAGAAAATCGTTTTCAATCGGTAATTTGACGGTTCATAAATATCGGTAATCATACATACTAAAAAAAAGAGAAAAAATTTTTTTTTTTTTTTTAACTATCCTAAAGTGATAGTAGATGTGCGAATCATACCGACTATCATCAAGTCCAACATCTACCTTGCCGGAGCCAAGTAATACACGCAAGTGTTTTTGCAATACCGATTTCCAACGAGATGCCTTTGCGGAACTTTCACAGAATTTCGAATTAAGTAATGATACGCGGAGGAGACAAAAATAGCGAAACTCCAAACTTTAACCCAAATATTTAATCATCTCGCATTTTGCCGATTTTCAGCAACAAAACTTAATATACCGATCAGTCGACACAAAATACCGATAAAACAGGTGCGATTAGTCGCACTTGAACATATATATATATATATATATA